TTCCAGATGCTTGAATGCATTTCAAGCAGGATGCACAGTGAATTATGGATGATCTGTTACCAAGAATAATGCAGGCTGCAGGGCAAGCCACCTCTTCACCGCTTTTTTGGTAACTGAAACGCTTATTCACACCCATAAATCAATTCCAAAGCCTGATTTTTGAGTAGGAGACCCACGCTGCTGGCTATGCTTTCTGATTTCCTCTGTATTTCTGCTTGTTGATCAGCAGTGTCTTTGTTTCACTGACGCCCTATATTCTTACCAAAATTTTATATATCCTATATTCTTCAAAATTTTAGTTTGCAACATGCACTGGAACCTGGCAGCTTTAAGTGAAAGCCCTTCTAAAAATAAGCAGCTGTCAAAGTCTGGATTAATTAACCCATCTTATTTAATGGGTCTTTGTGTTTACAGAGTGACAAGTGCATCCTCTGATTTTTAGGACATTCTGTATTCTCCAGAGACCTGTTAATAATGAGATTTTGGCAAATTACTGTGTAGCTGTTGAGACATCCCTCTGTGCTTCATGTGTAGATCAAGGTAATTATCTAGGAAAGGACTCACAGCAGTGGATATCAGTTGTCTGATGACAAAATGCGGTGCTCAGAGGGAGGAACGTGCCTGTCACAGGTGTGGACTTTACTTGACAAGGCCAAATCGTAAAAGTTATGACCCATAAAGGGGACATTTTATCATGAGATGCACGAACAGCTTTATCTGGACCCATGGATATCATCGATAGGAAGCCATTCTTCATACATTTTTGCCTAAAGGTTCCCTTAATTGTGCTAAATGGCACATTGTTGCCTGTGTATCCACATCCTTGTGGCTCCCAGAGGATGAAATGGCTGTAGCTTTCAGGTGTTTCAGCGCTGAGCTGCCATCTGAAGTAAGTAAATCACTTCACAGTAAATCCTGTAGCACAACTAACACTGTGTTCACTTAGAGCTGCTGTGTAAACACTGAAAGTGGAGGAAACACTGGGAAGTGGAGTAACCTGCACTACCCTCACCCCATGATGGACTAAATGGGTCTCCATTGCTAATTCCTGATACACGTTGGTTGTTTTGCAAAAGCAGTTTGCACGGTGGGAGGCAGCAGCCCTAGGCATATAGCAAAACTCTTTCAAAAGCCTGGCTTAATAACAAACAACACAAAGCAATACCCACACAAAGAAAGGCTGAGGCTGGTCTTGCATTTAGTGCTTTTCTTAAGATGATAAATCACTGCCGTTCAGGCACGCCTGAGAACTCCAGATCAGATCGCTCCTTTCTGCTCTGTAAGATGCGTGGTTTGGTTCAGTTTGGTTTGAAACAATCCAAGCATATTGAAATGTTTATAGGTGACATGTCAGACACACGCTGTCACAGAATCACAGAATCCCAGACCGTTAGGGATTGGAAAGGACCTCAAAAGCTCATCCAGTCCAATCCCCCTGCCGGAGCAGGAACACCCAGATGAGGTTACACAGGAAGGCGTCCAGGCGGGTTTTGAATGTCTGCAGAGAAGGAGACTCCACAACCTCTCTGGGCAGCCTGGGCCAGTGCTCTGGCACCCTCACTGAGAAGAAGTTTCTTCTCCAATTTCAGTGGAACCTCCTGTGTTCCAGTTTGTGTCCGTTACCCCTTGTCCTATCATTGTTTGTCCCCGAGAAGAGCCTGGCTCCATCCTCGTGACACTCACCCTTTAAATATTTATAAGCATGAATGAGGTCTCCCCTCAGTCTCCTCTTCTGCAAACTAAAGAGCCCCAGCTCCCTCAGCCGCTCCTCATAAGGGAGATGCTCCACTCCCTTGATCATCTTTGTAGCCCTACGCTGGACTCTCTCCAGCAGTTCCTGTCCTTCTTGACCTGAGGGGCCCAGAACTGGACACAATATTCCAGATGTGGTCTCACCAGGGCAGAGTAGAGGGGGAACAGCCCCAAAATGTCCACGTCAGGTACCCAGTGCTCCACACGTGCCTTTGATTCCTGGTTGCCATCCTTGAGGGACATCTACAGCTGTCCTTTGAATTCTCAGCTGCCGTGGGCTGCATTCCAGTTTCAGCGGTACCTGCAGCTGGGGCTGGTTTAATGCTGTCGTATTGTTTCGAAGGCACGGGAGGGAGGCTGGGTTTCTGGTTTTTCTATGAAATACAGAGGTGGAACCAACAAAGTAAACACAAGAGGGGCAAAATCTTGCAGCTGGCACTGTGTCTGTAACTCATATAGTGTGAAACATCTGTATCGCCTCTTCACAGTATAATCTGTAACAAATGTACTATTTATTCCCAGGCAGAAACCCTGTTATGCCTGGGCAAAGAGTATTCACAGCTACTATGATACTTTGGTGTAATTTTACCAAGGAAAATGATCTTAATACAGGCCTGGCCTGGATACCTTGTCCTTGGCCATCCCATCAGCCTGGGATGAAGCAAGGACTTGGACTTGAGAGGCTTCCAGTCACTAAGTTAGAGCCTTACTCAGCAGCCCAGCATTTTTGTCATCGGTAAATGCTCTTTTTCTAAATCTGTGGCTTCACAACCTCACAATCAGGAGCTTTGCTTAGCGGCACTGCAGGGAATTTTTCATGAGTATCAGAAACAGACATTGAATGATCATTTCTATCAGATAGGTTGTTAGTGGAGAATTGCCTTCCTTTTTCAAGGTAATGGCAGGCTCGTGCGATGTAAACTATACGGAAATTGCCCATCGTGAAGAGATGTGCTTAGCTGCTCAACTGTTGGAAGAAAATAGGGAATTACTCAGACATGCCCCTTCATTATTAGCAGGCATTAATAACATGCCTGGCACGATATATCAGGAAGGGACAGGCCAGGAAATAAGCTTCTAATTATGTACAGAACAAGCCCAGCCCAGCATGCTGCCTGGTCCTGAAATGCAGTGTTCCCGTTAGTTGTATAAACAGCAAGATTTAAAAACAAACAAGGCAAAAACTCTCCTCAAACTGTCGATGTAGCCTCTTACAGCAATGGGTTCCAGTGCATGGTATAACAGAACTTTTACTTCCTTGAATCAGTTGTGATTGTATTTTGCAGTTCACTTGACAATCCCTTTATTATTGTTACAAGACGATAAATAACAGTATCTTCACCTTCTCTACAACGCTCATTTTTATTTGGTCTTACTCTTCTCTCCATGCTAAGTTCGTCGGAGCTTTTTCATTCTCTTGGCATGGACGTTTTCCAGGTTTATGATTTACGTTACCTGTCCTGAACTCATTCCTTGCTCTGCTGTGCTGAATAAAACCAGACACTGTTCAACTCTGCAGAGAGCCCAAAACACTTCCACTCCCTCCTTGTTTCTTCCGCTTCAAGGTAGTAGTAGGTGTTCATCATTTCTCCTCCTGCACAATCACTGCGTTAAATTTATTGTGCTTTGGGGTGGCAATTTGTTTCCTAACATCCAATTCGAGTGAACAGGGAATAAACTTGCCCTCTGTTACGAACAAGGAATGTGGGCTAAAGTGCTTCAGGCTTGGATGGATGGATTTCAACATCAATTCCTGCTAAAGTTAATATGAGTGGAGTGTCCAGGTTCTTGCACAAGCTTTTGTAGTCTCATCTGCAGCCTTTTAGTGGTGCACAAGCTAAAACAGCTTCTTTTTAAAGGCATTTCTCTGTGATCACGGGGGTGAGAGCTGCTGTGACTCTGATCTGAGCAGGACTGCGGCACATCTCAGCCAGGGAAAAACTCCATTTCTCAGGAGGAAAACTGGGCAAGTGGAGTGGAGAAAAGAGCCGGTTAGGGAAGGGATGGATCTCGCCATGGATGACTCTCCCCTACGCTTAAACAAAAGGGGCGGTTTAATTTTTCACCAGCGCTTATTGTGATGGAGGAGAGAGGAGAAGGAGCTCAAACCAACATAACTGTGGAAGCTTCTGCAAAGTTAAAAACT